GCACATGGCAGGCACTTGCTCAATAAATGAATCGTGATCTTTTTACATGTCTCTCTTCCCCACCACCCAGTAAGCATCCTAAGAGGAAGAACTAGACTCAATTTACCTTTGTATCCTTGGATAAACCAAACAATGATTCAATACGTAATTATCTGAATTGAACTGAACTCAATCAACTTATCAGGAGTAGCAGTACCCCGGGCACTAGGCTGGGATTCTGGGGGAAATTCCAGGGTTTGGATAAGGGAGCTAACGGTGAGGCCACGATGCAGGTGGCTCAGGTACTTAGATTAAGGCTTCCTAAAGTCTGCAGCCAGAAGGGAAAGGAGAAACCTTGGGCTACTCTCAGCACCTTGGGCTGGTTTTAAGACGCAAGGCTAGGAAACCCCCCGGGGGTTTCTGGAAGACAGGCATCACCACCTGAGCAACACCATGGGGACTTCTGAGAGGGGGCAGCAGCTAGCCTGAGTTACTAACGTCCAGAGCAGCAATCCTGTCTGGGCCAGCTGCTGTCCTCAGGCTGGGGCTGGTGTTTTTAACACCCACTTTCCCCGCCCCTCCAAAATGGGAAAACTAGAGCTGGCTCCTTGGGTGGTCCCTGTGGTCCCCATCACAGCTCACTTTCTCCTCAGACAGCAAGCAGCCCCATGGGGACAGGGGGCAGGGTGGGGTGTCTCATGGTCACGGGGACAGACAGGAAAGGCACAGAAGCCAAAAAAAGAAACTTTCCATTTCTCACCCCCCCTCCCTCCCGCAGTCTGTAAAATGCAACCCAGCAGTGAGGACATGGGATTGAAGCAGTTTTCTTTCTCAGTTTCAGTTTCTGACCCTCCTCAGGATTGCAGAGATTCAGGTGAGCCCAAAACGCAATGTCTCAAGAACAAACTCATGCTGAAGTCACTGCTCCCTCCCATGACTAAGGACTCAGCCCAGAATCATCTCTTACATTGGCACCATGCTCTCCATATCTGCCTGCATGACCTCAGGTGGCCCCCACAGCAACCCCAGACACGGGCTCACGCTTTGGGTCCCCTCTGCCTGAGGAGGAAACTGAGGCTCGGAGACTGACTGACTGTTTCTGAAAACCGTTCCCTAGCCTGATTAAAATACTGTGTTTAAAGTGTAGCTACAGGGTCTAGTTTCTGGATTATTCTCTTATCTCTTCCATTTTTCCTAACTTCAGCGCCCTATTGCCCATCCTAAGCTGCACAGAAACAGAGACAACCAAGAGATGCTGAGGAAGACCCCACTGGGTCCTGACAGCCCTGTTCAGAGGCTGTGAGGAGTCTCTTGAGGTATGTTTTGTAGTAAGTCCAGAGAGAAAATGTCATTCCAATAAAATGTCCCCTGCTGCTCAAGCAAGCACGCGTGTGCGCACACACGCACACAGATGGTACACCAAGCAATGAGTGGAAGTGCAAGGAGCGCTGGATTCAGATTCAGAAAGCCAGGCTCTGTTCTGAGCTTGCTACTCGCTGGCCGTGCGACCTTGAGGAAGCTACCCTTCATTGGCAGACCTCAGCTTTCTTATCTGTCAAGATGAGTGGGTCCACTAAATAATTGTGGGGCTCCCTTTGGCTCCACGGTTCAGGATGATGTTGCGAATCATCAGATCTAGAAGGTCTGAGTACCAGTCTGCTCTGCCCTGTTGTACAATTTTGTACAAGTCACATATCTTCAGGTTCTTGACACAAAAAGGGAAGGAATCAGAATCCTATGTTAATCACTTTTAGGATGAGCCGAGATGGGGTTTTCTTTAGTTCTGAGGGACAAATGAAATAAAAGAATGAGAGGAATCATGTTGAGAGAGGGGAAGAAAAATTCTGCTGGGAATGTGACTCCTCTCTCAGTCTCTCATCTCACATGTCAATCACCAATTCCTATCAATTCGTCCTTCATAAATCTTGTGCATCTGTCACTTCCTCGCCTTTGCCACATAGTAGTTCTGCCCTAAGTCATCTGTTTTGTTCCAATGCCATGCCCTTCTCGCTGGTCTCCCTGCCACCACCTCTCTCAACCCCAACGCTCTTCTACCCTGAAGTTTTCACCACCCAGCTCCCCACTACCCACAGGACAAAGTCTCCAGTTTTAGCCAAGGTTTTAGCTTGCCTACCCTGCTGTGTCTTCCATCACACATCACTCCTCTACCCAAGCTCTTCATTGCAGCCAAACTAGCCCACTCTTTCCCCTCAGCCCTGCTTCTGTGCCTTCCTTTCCGCCATGCCCCATACCTGGCTGCTCTCTCTCTTCTCATCCAAGTCCAATGTTCAGCTCAAGCTGTAGCTCCTCCATGAAGCCTTTTCTGTCTGCCGAGCCCCAGAGAGTATTGCACATTGGTTCTCTTCTCCTCTCCTTTGCTTTTCCGACCTATTATCTCTTTATGCGTCTTTCCTGTTGCCCAATTTAGGTCATAACTCCTCGAGAGAGCTCTAAATTACATTGGGCAATCAATATTTGTTTTGATCAGAAAGATGATGACACTGGTGTAAAAATGACCTTGGCTTCCCTTAGTCATTCAAATCCAAGTTCTTGACTGTCATTTGTAAGCTAATTGGGAAGAAAAGGGACTGGGAGTACGAAAAGGTAAAGCAGGAGCACATAATAGGTGCTCAGAGAATATCTAAGAGGGAGGTAATAAAAAGGAAGGAGATGGAACACTGAGGGGAAGCGGGAGAAGGGCCTTGATTGAAAAAAGGGAGCTGCCTGGCAATGTTTCCATCTTTCCCAAGGGGGGACATCATTCAGAGAAAATTTGTCATCTCCACCACCCCTCCGGAGGCCTGGGTGGCTTATGCCAGACCACTTGGGTTCCTCTCGTCTCTGGAATAGAACAAATGGATGAGTCCCAGGAAGGGTAAACACTGGCATATGGAGCCATGGTGGGGACAAGACATCTATTTGTTTGGTGTTCTGGGAAATGAACAAGGGGAAATGCATTTTAGCCAGGGAAGAAAAAAATAACCTGTCAAGCTGTGAATGACAGCCAAGTCAGTGGGAGCTGGGATGTCCAACACAGCTGGGGAAGGGACTGGCTAGGCTTCTAAGGGAGATGGCACCTGAAATGGCGGGAGTGGCTGACAGGCCATGGCCCAGTGTGAGAGCTACAATCACCTCGTATAAAGAGAGAGATCATTTTGTCACTGACTGTGAGTGTCCCATTGATCAGCCAAAGATTTTATGTGTAGTTTGCAGCATTCTGCTTCTGGAAGGGGAGAGAAGAGAACCAACCATGTCCAAGGTAAGCCTCACTTATAAACTGTGAATTCCTGGAAAGTGAAGGGGTGTGTGTGTGTGTGTGTGTGTGTGTGTGTGTGTGTGTTGCCATGTGCTAGGGATGGGCTGTATCTTTATTGGGTACTTCCTGCTGTTGCTGCTGTTATTAAGATTTTTGAAATCTGTGCTGATATATGAGAAGCCATTGGCTTTTTAGCTGTTTACTGGCCTTTCTGTGTTCCAGTCTCCATTTCTCAGGTCAATTTGCCATTTCCTAATGGGGAGACATCTAACTGTGCTAAACATATTTAACTAGATTAAAATAAGTCCACGAACACATGTCAATACATGTCAGCAAAGCTCTGAAAATCCAAATTAGCCATAGGACAGTTACATGTCCCCTGTGGCTGCCTCTGGGTATGTTTTATGCCAAAAACAAAGGAAGGACCATACTGATCTGGAGCTGGCACATCCCTGCCCATTACACAAAGATTAAACGTAGGACATATCATATCTTGTCATAAGATGATTGAGACCCAGAGACAGTCAGACCTGCATTTTGCTGTTGACCTGACTCTCACTGTATGTTGCACATAGGAAAGCAGTGTTATCCCACAGCGTTTTCCAGAATGAAGTTGCATCTTGAAATCATTCAGATCCATATAAAGGTGTGCAACTTCATTAACCTGGAAGGGAGAGCCTTGAGAAGCATGCACCAAAATTTAGGGAATGGTTGAAGAAAAACAATGCTTGGCTGAGGAGTAGAAATGTCTTTCAAAGAAAACAAGAAGAGCCTGAAGTCTCTCACCTTTCTTGGCCAGCTGCCTTCTTCTGAAATGCCCAGCTGATTTGCCTGGATTTGTCACAAGAGAAGCAGCTTTTAACTACATTCCATCAGCTGGAGAAAAGGGATATTACTTTTTGGAAGGTAAACCCAAAGATTTTCAACCCAAAGTATAATTTTGTAAAGAGGCTTATGTTTTAAATTGTCTGTCTATAAAATACACTTTCATGAAATTTTATTTCCTTGGACTCTTCCTGTTTCCTTCATGTATGGATCTAATGAACTTCACATTTCAAACTCATGGAGGTAGAGATAGTATATAACATACTTGTGCTTTAAATCACAAGTGTTTTTTAATGGACCACCCTATGTAAGGCATGAAGTCACAGAATCCTAAAATGTGTCTAAATCAACCAATGGATTTTGCAAGTAGAGACCATGAGGCATCAGAAGGTGAAGTGACTTGCCCAGAGCCATACAGTGACAGAGACAGAGACTTAACCCACTGCCCTGACATCAAGTCCAGGCCACTTCTCACTTCTCTTATGGCCAAAAAGCAGCAGTATTTTGAAATATTCACCCAAAAAAGAAAAAAAAGTCAACATTTTCTAATCACTGTAAATCCAAAAGGTGAATTGGCTTCCACAATAGATTGGGTGAAAGTTACAGAAGGCATCATATGAATAAATGAATGGGGAAGAGAGCCATTTATTGGTTACTAATTTTAAGAGCGATTCAGACCCCGTTAGGGGCTTACGAGGGACAGCCTGCTCGGAGTTTGGAGTTTTGCCTTCCATGATTGCATCAGGACCACGTATTTAACCCAGAAAGTGGGAAGAAGAGGATCTGTTTCATCCAGAGCCAGCAATATTGCATCAACCAATCCCCGCTCTTCTGTAGTTTCCTCATGCATCTGCCTGGAGTCACGGGGTGTTTCCTGCTGAACCTGAGCCTCTCCTCCAGCCCACACCAGCCCCTCAAAATCTTTCCCAGAAATAAATTCTTGGTAGAAGTTATAAAAGACCAGTTCCTCCAAGCAGAACAACTCCCCTGGCTGCCCCAGGAGACCAAAGCATTTGGCAGGTAAGAATTATTACTTTTGATCTTTTCTGGTTTCTGCAAAGTTGATGACATTTCCTAAGGCTTCTCAGAAAACTTAGTATCAGATTTGGACTTGTTGGGCATTTTCTGGTGCCAGATTTGGCAGCCGCTGTGGCAGGTCATCCCTGTTTGGTGTAAGGGAGAATGTGATTAAATCCATTGTGGGGAAAGGAGGCTTTTCTGAGTCTGAAAACTGAGTCACAGAATCATAAAATCTTAGGGCTTCAAGGTACTATAAACCTCTCACCCATCCTGTTTAGAAACTGAGGCCAAAGAGATGTCTCATTTTCAGGGCACACAGAAAGTTAGGCGGAAAATAGTAGCAGAATGATTCCCTGTGTGGTGTTGAATCTGGTGTGATAGCATATGAACATTTTGCAGTGTTTCAAAGGGTTTCCTAAACCAGGGCTGTCAGATCTTTATCTTGTTTCCAGCATCTATCTGCTCCCTACAGCAGATCTGAACATCTAGTTAGCCTTGAATGTCTAGACCCCAGGATCTTCAATGCCCTCTGGAGAGCTGGCTCTCAATTAAGTGTATGAATTGCAGCAATATTTGGTGGGTTTCATTTTGAGAGAATGAAGCAGTTGAATCATATTGTTTTTTTATGTGCTTGGATGTCCCAAACCCTGTGGCTGAGATGAAGGATTATTTCTGCTATAGACAGCTTGATAAGAGCTAACTACATTCCATTCTCCTCTTGATCCTAGAGCTGTTCAAAAGATCAAGTAGAGCATTCTTGGGGGTATTGGGGGGGCTTGTTTTTCCTACTGGCTCATCCACCTCCCTCAACAGAGAGCTCACCATTTATGAAAAGGAACCCCACTGATCCCTTCCCTTCTCAGGCCCTCCTGCAGCCTCCTTGGTGATTTCTCAGCAAGTCTGAAAGCCAGATTCTGGAGGGCCTTTGTTCTCAGAGTATAGTCTGTAGTCCAGCATCACCGGCATCACCTGGGGGCTTGTTGGAAGTACAAACTCTCGGGCCCCTCTGTGACCCCCCATGTCAGAATCTGCACTTAACATGGTCCCTAGGTGATTAGTAGGCACGTCAAGGTGTGAGAAGCCTGCTACAGGACAGTCACCACCCTCTCCCACTGCACCGTCCAGATGCTGAACTTTTCTGCTCTAGTAGTTTTCATTCAGCATGGACCCAACACCTATTAAATACTGACACTAGGCTCGGGTGCTGGAAAAACAAAAAGAAATAAGACATATCCCTTGAGGAGCTCATGGTCTAATAGGGAAAACAGAAGTGAAAACAGTGATTGAGATCCGAGTAAAGTATACATATTTTTCCCCAAAAAACATGTATACACACACTTTGAATAATTATAAAGGCAGTGTTTATTAAGCTACAATTCATTTTCAAAATTGAGCTACCAGCTATTAAAGTGTGCATACATTTTACTCCAAAACCATTATCTTTGTTTGCCTGAAAAGGTAGGTTTCTGCTGGCTCAGTGGTCTCCTTGAGTCACAAAGAGGAGAGCTCTGGTTCTACTTGGGTCCGTATAGATGTAAGGACAGGAGCCCACTGAGAACTCCTCTTAGAAAAGAATTGCCAGGGAGAATCTTGGCCAGAGAGGTATTTGTTCATATCTTGTTTTTCTAGAGTTAGCTTATAACAAGATAAAAAGTATTAGGGGGATCATAAAATGGCAGAGGGAAAGATGGGGGGAGTCTAAGAGAGGCCAAAATTACTTGGTCCGGCTACACGGTTCTCTTTTCTGGTCTGCCTAACACAAGGGGAGATTATCCAGAGTGTCTGGAAGACTGCCTGTATGGTCTCTCCGGAAAAGCTCCAGAACTATGATTTCTTTTAGGGAGCTTCAGGTAGGTATGGAGGAGGCAGCCAATCTGAGAATATTCTCCTTGGGTGTTTCTGGAGTCCACTAGTGAATGCACACTGAGGGAAGAGCCTGAGCCCTCTTGTGCAAGCAGAGGGCCTGCCAAGGGAGTAGTCTAAACACATGATCATTCCATCCACATATGGACACCTCCCCAGTCTGGAGCTAGAATCTCCTCGAAAAATACTTGTGGTCCATTCCACCAAACCTAACAAACACTCTAAGCCCCTGAGCCCCTCATCAGCAAACGAGCTTTAGCCTGATGATTCAGGTTCAGAGTTAAAACTCATGGTGGAGGGAGCTGGAATGTCTCCAGGCCGACGGGGACACAGCTGTGGGCTCAGGGGAGTCTGAGCTTTGCCACGACTTTCATTCCAAATTGGCTTTTTGAGGGAGAGTGAAGCCTCTGCCGGTTCTGAAGGGAGGAGCTGAGTGTCTGCTTCTAGGGTACACTCCCTGGTGCTGGGCCAGAGGATGGCTTGCAGGAAGTGATATATCCTCAGGGGAAAGAGTGAGGGAAACCCCACAGATATGTTCTGGTTTGGGTAACAGCATTTTTCCTCAAGACAGGTAGGTGGCAAGACAAGCACATCGAAAACCCTGGATCACTTGGTCCAACCCTCCTCGCTTGGCAGGCCATGGCCCAGAGATATGAAGTAACCTGCCCAGCATCATTGAGCTACTTAGAGCAAATGCAGAACTACAACTCAGGACCTCCAGACCCCAAAGCCGGAGCTCTTTCCCTCCCCTGCCCCTTCCCAGTATCTAGCATGGGCCTGCACATATGGTAGATGCTGAATGATTGTAGCTTCCCCTTCTCTATTCCAGTGTTAGGGTGTCTGGTGTCCCCGGGGCGTCTCTGCTTTACCATCCCCTTACTGTGACTCAGTCCCTCCCGTAGGGGCTCTACAAGGCTCACACCATGATATGCGTCTTGTTTCAGCCATGCGGGTCCTTCTCTGTGTCCCAGGCCTCCTCGCTTCCCTGACCTTGCTCCATGCTGCATCATCTGCCACAGGTGGTAAGTGTCTCCCTGTATTGGTTTCCTGGGGCTACTGTAGCAAAAGACCACAAAATGGTTGGCTTAAGACAACAGAAAATATTTTCTTACAGCTTAGGAGGTTAGAAATCCAAAATCAAGGCCTCGGCAGGATCATGCTCCTCTGAAGGCTCTAGATCAGCAATTTGCAACAGGTGTTCCACAAGAAGTTTTAAACACGCAGTACCTGTTTAGTCAGGGGCACCGATCTCTTTTCCTGTAGATTGTCAAATAAAAAAATGACAACAGCCAACACAACAGTAGCCGTCAGGTGAGGATGCCCTGTCTTGAACCATAAATACCTAGGTTGTATAACAGAGCTGCATCTTATTGGTCACATCGCATAATAAGATTGCATCTGATTGGTTAATTCTTGGTACTAGAAATCCTTATAAACAAATATAGGCACCTGATTTTTTTAAAAGTCACTTTGGAGCAAAAAGGGTAGGTAATTACTATTATTTTTTTTTTGTAAGTCAATCAAAATTATACCGATTTTTTGTCAGATCAGCAAAGAATATACCATATTTTTTAGTGTGCCGCAGCTTTAGTAATTAGTTTGTGTGTGCCGTGAGATAGAAAAGCATGAAAATTGCTGCTCTAGAGGAGAACTCACCCTGGCCTCCAGCTCTGGTGACCCCCGGCCATCCTTGGGACTCCTTGGCTTATACGCGCATCGCTCCTGTCTCTGCCTCGGTCATCACGTGGCCTTCTCCGTGTCCTCCCTGCGTGCTCTCCTCTTGTTGTAAAACTACCCATCATTGGACTTAGGGCCCATCTTAATTCTGTACCTGCATGACCTCACCCCAATGAGGTATATCTGCAAAGACCTTATTAACAAGTAAGGTCACATTCTGAGGTTTTTATTAGGACATATATTTTGGGGGCATACTGTTTCATCCACTATATTTCCCTTGTTCAGAGAATGCATCCTGCCCCACCCCCAGATCCCAGTATGAGGGGAAACAAGGAATCCCACCTCTTCCCTACACCATGCTCTCCCTGCTTCAGGGTCCTGGTAGTCAGCTAAGTCCTTGATGAACTTGCTTTAGGGTCCAGCTCACCAAGAACCAGAAAAACCCCCACCGCTCAGTAGCCTGAGCCAACCTGAGCAGCCACTTGTGAAAGTTTCCTAATTTTGATCTTCCGCCTGCTCAGATTTGGGGGGGCGGGGACAGGTAATGGCTGAGAAAGGAGGACAGAAGCAGAGGGCATCTCGGAGGAATGGTGTCTGATCCCCTGCTGCTTGTTTCTCCCCCTCCAAGCGAAGATCAGCAGGGTTGCTGCCATCTCTGATGTTGTGAGTCAGGTCAAGATCCAAGTCGACAAGGCCTTCCTGGATTCCAGGACCAGGTATTTGAGACACAAACATGAAGGTTCTCATGGTGGCGGGAGGGAAACGCCCATTATTTCAGCAACTATCTCCAAATGAGAATTCTCTCTACCTCCTTAACGCCAATCCCCTTACAGCCCCCAGCTGGGGATAGAATGAAAGCCACAAGGTCAGTGCTCATTGCCTCCTCTGCAAGCTGTGCACAGGACAACCAGCCCTGCTCTGGGACTTGTCCTCACTGGTTAGTTCTTGGGCTTGAGGGCCTCACGGAGATATAAAAAATAAATTCAAACAGCCTTTTACACAAGCACTCAATCTGGTATCATGACTGGCGATGGAATGAAGGGATAAACAGAGCAATGGTTGCTACTGGAGGTACGGGAATCAGGACGCCGCTTGGAGGAGAAGGAGAAGCCAGCCCTGTAGAGAGGCAGAGGGATGGCATTTCAGGGACTGGGAACAGCAAAGACAAAGGTCCTGGGGCAGGAAGGAGTTTAGGGTGCCGAGAAACAGAAAGACGGCCAATGCTGGTGGCGACAGTAGGCAAGGAGGAGCACACACAGGTGAGGACAGAGAGATGGATCCCAAGGGCCACAGAGTCAGAAAGCAGATGAGTGGTTGCTAGAGACTGGTGGGGGGAGAGGAACTGGGAGTGACTGCTTAGGAGGTATGGGGTTTCCTCTGCCGGTGGTGAAAATGTTTTGGGACTAGACAGAGGCCATGATTGCACAATATAATGAGCATTCAGACTACACGCAGATGGATTCACGCCTGCCCCAGGGTAAGCCAATGAAGTGCTTTCATCAGAGGATGGCACGGCCTGAATTTCATTCTAAAAAACTGACTCCAGTGGCCACGTGGAGAACAAGTGGGAGGGGGACAGGAGTGAGACAGGAGCCCAGTTAGGAGGCTGCTACAGGCCCCCAGATGAGAGAGGATGGTGGCCAGGATGAGGGTGTGGAGATGGACAAGAGCTCCTCGCAGGGGGCAAGTCCCTGGTGAGTCCGTGTGCAGGCGGAGAGCCATGCGGAGCACCGGGCGGCGAGAGGGAGGAACGGGCGCGAAGAACCTTGCGTGGGACCTTTCAGGTGGAGCCCCGGGAGGCCAGCAACCATTCTTTGTTCATGGGGTGCGGGACCCTTTGGGACTTGGCTGACGATGGTGATGGCACTGATACTAACACATATGAGTGTTTATTTTGTGTCAGATAGAGCTCTAGGTACTTTGTATTCCTTTATTCCCCAAATCCTAGAGGCACCAGAAGAGAACTGAGAAAAGATCCCGAGAGCACAGGAAGCACTTGTCTCCTGCGTGCCGCCCACGCCCTCTGGGGCCTCGCTCTACACACGCCACCTCACAGCCCTTCTACAGGGTCAGAGCCCAAGGGGCCCAGTCATGACTCCCGCTTTGCTCCTCACTGTAGGCTGAAGACTGCCATGAGCTCTAAGGCACCCAGCACCCAACAGCTCTCAGAGTACCTCAAGCACGCCAAGGGCCGGACACGCACGGCCATCCGCATCGGGCAGGTGTGGGAGGAGTGCCTAAAGAGACTGAGGCAGAAAGCGATCTCGACCAATGTCACAGGTACAGAAAACCCACTAGCCCTCTGATGGCAGGAAGGGGTCGTTTCCTCACAGGAGAGAGAGGAAGCCACCAAAAGTTGCATTTCCCCTGAGGAGCAATGTCCTTGGAGAAGCACTCCAGCAGAGCAAGGAGGGGCTGAGAGGACAGCTAGGCCAGTGTTCTTTTTTGCAGGGAGAGAAACTCAAAGCCCAGCAAGGTCACACTGTTAATTCTAAATGAGGGGGCATTCATGCTCTTAGTATAATACCATCTATAAGGCCTCTATCCAGGGGAAGTACTAAAGTCAGTAAACATGGGCTCCCTGTTCCAAACCACAGTGTCACCACTTTCCGCCAGTGAAGGGGACACTTAAGCCACCTGTGTCTGAGGGATTTACTGGGATTATATCACAGGAGATGAGATTTCCAACATTTTCTGGGTAACATGCAGCTAAAACAATGAGTGGATGGATTGATCATGAGTTCTTCCAACCCCTCCACCCCCAAATGTCACAGCTCATGGAGAGTCCTGGAGGAAGGGGTTTGGTTCTGACATCCAGTGAGCAAAGATATGTGGCCTAGGACTTGGGAAAATCCCAAAGTTCCAAAAGAAGGAAACTGGGGCAAGGTAGGGAGAAGGTGAGAGCCCCTTGGACTCTCATACTCAAAAATGCTGGGGGTTGAACCCAAGTCCCTGACAACTTTCACAGATGGTCCCTCTGAGGAAGCCCCATAGGGCCAGAGTCCCTTGCCTGTCTTTCATTGTAGGTACTAGGATGGATCACGGGCTGTATTAGGAGGTTGGTGCCCTCTCCATTCTGTGCCCACATGGAGGCCTCTGATGCCTAAAGCCCCCCACTGTTACTCCTCCCAAGGCCACAGTGCCCCTCACTTAAAAATGACCTGTCCCTCCCCAACGTCTTCCCTATCTAGATTCCTGCTTGCTTGGTTGTTTAGATGTCAGGGAAGCTTTAGAAGAAAAGTGATCTTATCAAACTAACTCATACTAACAAGCGCTTAACCTCCCAGGGGTATTTCTATTGTAAGAGAATGACCTGTCCATTCACATGACCTGACGAAGAATTACTAACAACTCTGGGGACTTGAGCAGTTATGATCTGTGTGGCCTTGGGCAAGTCTCTTGAGCACTATGGTCTCAGCTTCTTCTCTGTAAAATGGGAACTTAGATTCTTGCCTTAGTGAGTTGTCAGGATTAAGTGAGAAGCCACCTCAGAAATGCTTACTGAGAACATAGGATGCATTCCCCCAAGTGCAAGTTCATCCCCGGTTTCCCCTTCCTGCCTGCCCTCAGTGCCTCAGAGTGGAGAAAGAACTCAGCCCCTTTGGGGTCCCTTCTGTTTCAGGCCCCAGCCTGGACTTGACTACACTCTCTTCGGAGGTAGGCTGTGATGTCCCTGCTCCAGTGGTGACATGCGACAACAGCCCTTACCGCACCATCACGGGAGACTGTAATAACAGGCGAGCGGGCTTGGGTAGCTGTGGGGGGCAGGCCCTCCCAACCACCAGGCCCAGCGATCGGCCTCAGCGAGCGCAGCCCCGCGCAGCCCCGCGCAGCCCCGCGCAGCCCCGCGCAGCCCCGCGCAGCCCCGCGCAGCCCCGCGCAGCCCCGCGCAGCCCCGCGCAGCCCCGCGCAGCCCCGCGCAGCCCCGCGCAGCCCCGCGCAGCCCCGCGCAGCCCCGCGCAGCCCCGCGCAGCCCCGCGCAGCCCCGCGCAGCCCCGCGCAGCCCCGCGCAGCCCCGCGCAGCCCCGCGCAGCCCCGCGCAGCCCCGCGCAGCCCCGCGCAGCCCCGCGCAGCCCCGCGCAGCCCCGCGCAGCCCCGCGCAGCCCCGCGCAGCCCCGCGCAGCCCCGCGCAGCCCCGCGCAGCCCCGCGCAGCCCCGCGCAGCCCCGCGCAGCCCCGCGCAGCCCCGCGCAGCCCCGCGCAGCCCCGCGCAGCCCCGCGCAGCCCCGCGCAGCCCCGCGCAGCCCCGCGCAGCCCCGCGCAGCCCCGCGCAGCCCCGCGCAGCCCCGCGCAGCCCCGCGCAGCCCCGCGCAGCCCCGCGCAGCCCCGCGCAGCCCCGCGCAGCCCCGCGCAGCCCCNAACTTGGCGCGCCCCCGGGATCTGTTCTGCTGGAGCCCCCTCCTAACTCCCCCAGCGGATCCCACTGGGAGCAGCACCTTTCCCCAGGGCATAGGCGCCCCGCGCCTTCCGAGGGTGGGGTGGTTCGGACGCCCCACATTCGAGAGGCGCCTCCCCGGAGCCCCCCCCACCCCCCGGCAGAGGCTCCCCGGGGCACCCCTGTGGGGTCTGCAGAGAAGCAGACCCCGGAGTGGAGTGGAGTGGCGAGGCTGAGCGCCGGTCGTGCGGTTGCAGGAGGAGCCCCGCGCTGGGCGCCGCCAACAGGGCGCTGGCGCGCTGGCTGCCCGCGGAGTACGAGGACGGGCTCGCCCTGCCCTTCGGGTGGACGCCGGGGAAGACCCGGAACGGCTTCCGGATCCCGCTGGTGAGGCCAGGCTGGCGGGGGGGACAAGCCCGAGGAGGAGGGCGAAGGATGGGAGTCAGGGAACGAGCTGCGACGAGGAAGGAGAAACGGGAGGGGGGACAGAGGATGCGTGGCGGGGCTGCGTCGGCGGAGAGACGGGCTCTAGGACTTGGGCCTGGCGTCGTTCCCCAAAGTGCCACCAGAGGGCAGCAGCGCTCCCAGCCTGAACCCAGCCACGGGGCTGTCACATCCCAGTTGCCCGCAGGCCAGATACCCTGGGGTCTCCTAGGCAGATGGCCTCCCTACCCCATCCTGCTTACGCTTCCCCTGCCCCAGCTCCCGGGGCGCATCAGCTGTCGTTTGCCTGGAGGTCCTCTCCGGCGGCCTCGTCTGAGTTGGCAGCCCCTCCCCAGCCTCTCTCCTCTCCCCAGACACCTGGCGGCTCCGCACCTCACAGGCAGCCTGCCTTTGTCTTCCCTCCCCTGGTGGAAAGGACACTGGCCTCTCAAGCCCTCAAGTCATAGGGACCTGCGTTTAATCCCATCCCTGTCCCTTTGTGGCTGACCTTGGGTATCTGGCCTGTGGCTCACCTCTCTAGGACTCAGTCTCATCTACAAAACGGGGGTGATGCCACGCACCTCACAAGCTTGTTATGGGAATTAAATAAGTGTAGCTGTTGCATCGTAGGTTCTCAACAAAACTGCAATTGAACCTGAATCCTCAAAGCACATTTTTCTCCAACCCTCCCTCCCTCCCCT